AGACTAATATTTTTTTTTTGAATTTTAATTTGCTTTGTGTTACTTTCCATAAAATAATCGCTCAATTGTTGTGATTTGAACTGAATATGATAAAATAAAAAGCAAGCTGAGCGAGCGAAGTGATCGTACCGCTGCATAGCAGCCGGCGAGCGCCAATCCAAGCTAGGCATTTTATAGTTCTAATTAGAGATGAAACGGATATCCGATTACTATCCGGTATCCGGCCTTATTTTCACTATCCGCCCGAATACCGGATAGGGTGCCATTATCCGGCCGGATACCGGATAGTAACATAAACATTAATCTCACTATTTTATACAAGGAAAATTATATCACTATATATACATTTATTAATTAGTTTAATACTCAAAATTAACAAGTGGCAAATTGTGGTGAATGAATACCAAACTTTCTGCTTTTGTTGGTAAGATGTGACTCCGCTTTACTTCATATACTAGACGTGTGCGCCGCGCCGCGCCGATGACCGACGCCGCCGATTATGACACGCCGCCGCTGACCGGTTAAAAGATCGGCATAAACGGCGCGGGATGGCACGAACTGCCAGTAACATTCGTTCGCTCGGTTGCTAAGCAACGTAGTGCATTCTCTGCAGCACATGTTAATTCCGTTCCGTATTCCATATCTAGTAAAATTTTAATGAATACAAAAGTAAAGTCAATGATCAGATGCAAACAAATAAACAATCGAATCTTTCTTCTTTAATTACAGCTGTCAACAAAATTGTACAATTAATGTAGCGCTCGTCTACAAGATAGAGTTGGCAGAAATCATAAATTTAATACTTACCCTTATATGTCTATTCTAGCTAACCCATCTCTGAAGCTGTCTTACTAAAACGGCTAAACGATTGCGTCTAACTGGGAATAATATCAATAAAATAATTTCTATGCATGATAACTGTTAGGTTGGGGAAAAAGTCTTTTCGCATATAGTATGCATAAAGTTGTAATAAAATCTTTCTGGCTATACCATTTCTATATGGCTGGTTTCGGTATCATTAAAAAGTTTAAATTTTAAAGAAGACTTCGAATTCAAATTAGGAAAATGTGTAATTTTCATTTGTTTTTTCTTACTGTCAAAATGAGTAAATCTAATGAAGAACTAAGATACATTTTAAATTTTTATTATAAAAAGGTAAAAATGCAACGTAAGCCGTGAAAAAGATTTTTGACGTTTATGAACCTAGTGCAGATTCTGTGAGAGTAGCACAAATTTGGTTTAAGCGTTTTCAGCCCGGGAATTTTGATGTTAAAGGTGTACTTCGCTCCAGTCACTCTGTTACGAATAAATGAATGCCATTTTTGAGAAACTGAAACAAGATCGGCATATCGTAGTTACGACGAAGCTGAGCTCACTGAAAAAAACTTAATGAACCGTGTACTCTTTTGTAATTCTTTGTTGCGGTATAATGAAACCAAATTACACCGCATTTTTGAAGAAGCTGATAACTGGTGATGAAAACTGGCTCACATAAGACAAGAACATGCGAAAAAAATCGTAGTCAAAGGTCGGTCAGACTTTACAGACTGAGGTGAAACCCGGGTTAACTGGCAAAAAGATGATGCTGTTTATATGGTGGGAATAGAAGGGCATTATTCATTATGAGCTGTTACTGCCAGGCAAGACCATCGATTCTGAACTCTACTGTGAACAACTGATGAGATTAAAGCAAGAAGTTGAGAGAAAACGGCCAGAATTAATCAATAGAAGGAAGGTTGTTTTATCATTAAATGAAGAGAGTTTGGCTGGGAGGTGTTAATGCATCCGCCGTATAGTCCTGACCTTGCATCTTCAGATTTCTACCTGTTTAGGTCTCTTCAGAATTCTTTAGGCATTTCCAGGTAAACATCACGCAAGGATTCTTAAAACAACTTGTCGCGGTTTCTTGATTAGAAGCCCCAAAATTTCTAAAGATTTTATCATGCCCCTACCTACAAGATTGCAAAAAGTTATCGAACAAAATAGTACCTACATATTTTAGTTAAATGAAAGTAAACTTTATTAAAAATGTTTAGAATTATAATCTTAATGAAAAATGCTTAAAAAATCCAGTTTGTCCCCGGTATTCTCAGATGGGACTTAAACCCATGAACTTGGACCCATGGATTGCTAAAAAATATTTTTCAATATCATTATGACTACGTTACATAATGTAGAAGAGTATAGTTGTGCCATATTTGAATGTTACTTAAAAGGTGTTATTAGTTTTAGTAGTTCTTATATTTGTTATGTCAATAAAGGCATTCTGAATTGTTTAACTTTTTATTTTCCATTATTAAACATAACGACGCCGTTTACGCCGCCATTTACGCCGCCGCCACTGAATTTTTAGCTCCACGCCGCCGCCGAAGATTTCGGCATCGGCGCACATGCCTATCATATACTAGGTCAGCTTCAGGGAATTCCTATTTTAAGAATTTGCCCGAGTTTATGTTGGCAATTAATTCTCTGCCACACTTGCATGTAGAATGTGAAAGAGTTTTTAGCAAAGTAACTGACATAAAAACTAAAAAAAAATTATCGCAAAAGGGCATACATCATCATAGAATAAATTGTATTGTTTTTGTTCTCATCGATACAATGTTTTGAAAGTATAAAGTAAATATGTATAAATCGAAATAATTATACTGTCCGATTCTCCTCCCTTTCTATTCCGATCCCTTTCTACTCTTACCCAAAACGTATTGCTAAATATTTATATTGGTTCTACCGTATTCCAAATTAAAAATACTCCACAATTTTGAAATAAAAATGAGTTCTACCATCCGCTAGATTTCAGAGTTGGTAACACTGCTTATACTTGACATGCTATAGATTCAAATCAAACTGGTCGGGTCATGTAATGCGATAAAGGCTGTATATCCGGTAGCCGGATATCCGGCGCTCCGGCCTCGGGCCTTGGCGAATATCCGGTATCCGGCCAAACCACTATCCGTTACATCTCTAGTTCTAATGTTGTTTGACAAGTCTGATAAAATCTTGTATCTGTGTCACATGACATGTTATTTAAGGTTAAAGGTCAATCGGTTTTTATCGTTGGATGATGTTTGACGTCTAGTAAAAAGTTATAGAGAATTAAATTTGCGATAATACCTTGTGAAATGATTTTTGACCTTTGCTACTTATAACGTCAACACGAGATTTAATGATATTTATATTTATTTAGAACGCCAAAATGAAACTATACGAGCTTCCAGCTTACTATATCTTATTTCGAGGTGAAACGCTAATTTAACTGGGCTGGGTAGGGTGGTTTTTATACAAGGTAGGTAGAGGTTTGCCCCGCAACGACCCACCCGTTCCTCCCCCTAGATATACGGTCGTGTAATCGTGTTGAGTGGCCGCCTATTATATTGCGATATTTGTGAAATAAATTAATCAACATTTTTACGTAAATAAGACTAATATACCTATTATTAAAATTCAAGATTTTATGTTCTCATTAAATCAATGAATAAAAATAGGTAAGTAGGTATTTTTAAAGTATAAATGAAACTTCTTAAATTATTATCCCATTGCCTCTAATAAAATACACGCAGAGGCATATGGTCCATTTTTAAAGAAAACTTTAAATTTCCACTGTTGATTTTGAACTTCAAATGAAAAACAGCAAGGTATAAAATCGATTTTTACTTTATCATTTCTACATTATTATTTTCTGCTCGTCTGCCCCCTATTCCATGAAAAAATAAAAAAGCAAGTTATAAAACTGATTGTTACTTTATAATTTCAATATTAATAATGTTCGAACGCCCGATATCCTATTTAGAAGTAACGTGCTATCGACGAATTGTGTATTCATGTGTATTCGATCATTTGTTGCCGATGTGTTTCTGATTGAGTATTTAAAGTTAAGCACGTCTCACACTGTACTTAAATATCACGTACAGATTTTCGTTTCTAATTTTAATGTTAGATACCTAGGTAGCAGTTTGAAAAAAAAAAAACTAGGACTTTTTGCCTGTGAAAAGTAAAAAACTTAAGTTATTGAGAATACCTAAACAGTGAGATTTATTACTTTTCTCTATTATATTACATTAGTAATCGGCCGTAATACACATGCCTACCTAATACACAAATAGGATCTAGGTAGGTAAGGAGGTACAAAAACATTACCTACCTATAACAGTTTTTCGGCAATGCTCATTTAAGGTAGGTAGATAGTAAAATGAAGACATGATAATAAATACGCATAATTTTAAGTACCTACCTGCTAGTTCTTGGTATAAATAATACCTAAGTACCTACTAATACTTATAAACAAAACGTTTCTCAATAATTTCTAATGATAACGAAATCTATTATAAACCTTCAAAATCATTATCCCTATCATCGTTATCTATCACAGATTTATATTATTTTCTTTTTAGTACACCAAGTCACCTAGAAATGAATTAAATACTTACATAAATGACGCTACAAATATTTTATCAATTATATTATATATAACTTATACATATAAAATTCCACAATTAAAAGAATAAATAATAATAATGATAAGAAGTAAGTCAATTGAAAGCCATTCCATTCATTCAAATAATAATAATTTATACCACGCTCAAAACACTCTCCGTCCTCGACGACTGTCTGAAATACAAACGGTATTATTATTACTTCCAGTCGTAGTGCACGAATCCGGCTCCGCTACTCGTCCGAGCCAAGCGAGCGAGGTCATTCAGTTACGTAGGTAGACAAAGAAGCGGGCGACCCGTTCCGATAATAAATGCCTCTTCTATAATCACCACTGCTTGCCTGTATAGGCACCAATGTTCCTCGCTTAGACAGAGAGAGAAAAACGAGCAAAAATTGTGTACCCGAAAGAGATAGCAACATAGTGTGAATCCGCTCGTCCCTAGGCATTTGCCAGTCAACCAATACTGGCACTTCGCCCGCCATTCTGGCACTGGCAGACGCGTTTGTGTGCGAGTGAACGGAAAAGAAATTTGTTCGGTCGGTCAGCCTCGGCCTAGCTAGCAGCTACACTCGGTCCTCCATATTTCGATCGAAGCGACACAAAGTCGTTCGGTGACTCAGTGCGTAAAGTACTCGTATTCATATAATTATATATAGACGTGTTTTGCATAACTCGACAACTTGATTAACTAAATACGATAAGAAAAATTACAAGTCGCCTACGATATGTATCATCTACCTTCGACGCTATGCTATCTATTGCATAGTAGTGTAGATGTAGTTTGACAGAGAGTCGTTTATTTGGCCGGCCATTTTGTATTTTGAGGTCGAATCGGAGAAACAGTGACAGAACTTCGCGGAAAATTGACTACCTAAATTTGCATTTTTTATTCGATACTGTTATGATACAAAACCTGCCGGTTAGAGGTTATTTTTGTATTAAAACCCTTTTCCTTGTGTCGGTGTTATTTGTGTAGAACTATCTACTGTATTTATAGCAAAGTGAAAAGTTGCAGAAATTGCAAAATCGTGAAATAATTGTGTGGAACTGTTTACCAGAGTCTTGAGTTTATAAATTAATTGACAATGAAAGTAAGTATTATAAACGATACTAATCATTATTTGTCTTGTGTTTGTTATGTACTTCAAATATTGCAATACAATCTGCATGGTTGTGGTTGTTGTGTGACTTGTTTACGAGCATTTCATTAGAAAGCGTTGGTTTTAGATAAGTAATTCTAGTAGTATTCTTAGAATTTCACTTTGTCTCATCTAAACAACCAAGATAACTCTTTAAATTGAAAATCTAATAAGAATATTAGTTTTTACTTGAAGTATTTATTAACATTTTCTTTCTAGTTACCCTAATAGAGGATGATTATACTGTGAATAAGTTTTATTATATCAAATTATTACAGATCAAACCTAAATTGTGGTCATGGTTTAGTGTTTTTTTTTAGTAACAAATATGTTGAGAAGTTTTACAACATCTAAAGTTGTGCCTGTACTAACCATAAACACAATACAAGAGATGTACTTATCTCATAACTTGTTCACAGGTAATATAACATGGCCACAAAGATTGAATCCGATTTACCATCTTCGCCAACAAATGATCAATCAGGTTTGTTTTATTTTTAACTGTTTTTTTTTTTAATACATACATAAGGATTTATATTTATTGTTTGGTTGTCTATTCATTATGAGTTTTAATTTCTTATAATCTAAAAACATTCGTCCCAAATCTAATGCATCTATTAGCTGACTTCGGCTTTATTGTGGTCTTTAAAATACTGCTTTTGTGAATGCTAAACATGCTGTTTATATGTCAATATTTAGGAAAAAACTTATAAAAACATTTAGATAAAAACAAAAAAAATACCAAAATTTAGTTAGAAAAGTTTAAGATCCTTTAGGACAAACAATTGAAACTAAAGACTTGAATTATAAACAAAACCAGTATCATTAGCCTGTTAAAATGCTGTTTATAACTTCCATTATAACTATCCATAGTTACTGACATATTTATATATATTAAACAGATATTAATATTAATGATTACATATCAAAGTTCTTTAAAATGAAATGAATAAATAAAAATAAAAAATAAATATATAGAAAGGCATTTATAATTGAATCAACTTTTATTTTTGTCATTTTAAACCATAAAAAAAATTATCAAAATAAACAAAACCAAATCACGTTATATATCACGTTACATAAGTTAAATTAAAATATTTTAGTCAAAAAGAATGGCTTTTAATTTTCTTTTGTTTTTATATGCCCTAGACAATTTTTTTTTTATATCAGAAAGCTATATTTGATAGTTGTATAAAAATAAAACCTATTTAATAACAAGTCCTAAAGTACAAAAAGAGCTTGTGTGTTTTTTTTTGATAATGACCAAGGTATATTTATCATGATAATTATCGCAATATTTAATAATATTTTCATAACATGAAATCTTACTACTTATATATTATTTATTACGCATGTTACAGGTGCGGATGTAGATATGAATCATATGAAATGAACTGATTTTCAAAAATATTATTTTTCTTGAATCTATATAAAGTTTAATATAATGTTTTAAGGGCAATTTTGGAGCAATGAACCTTTATGGATCCACGTCTGCATCAACATCTACATCTGCATCTGCATCTGCAACATCCCTAATATCTACTTAGTAATACTTGAATAGAAAAACTTGCCATATTATTGAAAGATGGCTGACTTGAGGAAATCCTGGCACATGCGATAATTGATATTTCCACATATTTTTTGTAGATGCATTTTCATATAGCATCAAGAATATTACTAGTAAAAATAACTTTTAGACCTCCATAGCTGAGTGGCTCACACATCAGTTTCAAGGTGTTGTCATCTCAATATGGTTCCTGGTTGAGTCAGTGTCGGAAATAAACTTTCTTATTATTGTCTCGGGTTTGGATGATCTGTTGCCTACAATGTTTCAGATTTCCATAATACATGTGCTTTAGCTACTTAATTTGAGATCTGAGTAATGAATGTATTGCTAATTACTGTTACACTTAACTTAAACTTACAATATTGCACACACACATCTGTGAACACCACTATTTCTAGTATGACATGAAATATTTTTGACCTCTTTTATCAACAGTACTTCCAATTGAGGCTCTAAGCCGGTTGCGAATGAACCGGTATTTATTTATGTTAAACCGGTTTTATTTTTTGTTTTGGTTTCATTTAAACAGTACTGAGTTTTCCAAACCGCACTGTAACTGATGTTTGTCTAACATGTGGACATAGGGGTTCACAAACACATGCACTTCTGGGTAGTCATACACGGTTTTGACATTTCAAAATATATAATCAAGATGAATAATTTATTCTTGTGAAGATGTTCAAGTTGTGTAGTTCTGTATCTAATGACCTATATAATTATAAAGATAATTATTTTTTTGTTGATAATTATCGGATAATTATCTGCTATATGTACTGATAGTTAATTGTTTAAAAAACTATTTTTAATAAAATGTTTTAAAGATGTGAATTGTCTTTATATTATATTTAATAATATTATTCTTCGTTTATCGTAGCGATGTGAAATTACATTGATCAAAAGGTTAAATTAAAATATGTTTTAATTAAAAAGGGAACTTTTAATTTCTTCTTTTTGTAGGTGCATGCCGCAATTTTCTCTATCATCAAAACCACATTTGATAGTTAGTTTGTGTAGTGTTTTATTATTAGCAAGATAAGTCGCGATAATTATCAATAATAAATATCACTAAACCCTGGTGGAAAACATTTAAATCGAGTAATTGTTGCGTAATATTAATAATTGTTAGTTAAGTACGCGAACTGTAATATGATTAAGATATTTGACCATGACTGAGAATGAGATATTACAAAGTCTTTTTGAATAATTAATTCTAGATGCTAAATAAAATCTCAAATCTATACTATTAAAGCTGAAGAGTTTGTTTGTTTGTTTGATTGAAATCTAAAATTACAGGCACTACTGGAACGAATTGAATTATTGTTTTTGTGTATAATAGTCCACTTATTGAGGAAGGCTATAGGCTATCTAACATCACGCTATGACTAATAAGAGTGGCGCAGCAATGAAAAAAGTTACAAAAAGAATGAGAGAACATTTTACTTTTAAAGCTTTCCATGCATGCGCAAAGTTACGCAAAAATAATTTATTACGTAATCGCTCCCGTTTAAAAGTTATAAAAAACGTTCGCCGCAGCAAATGTCTAACTATGTCTTATTCCGAAAAGAAGCCCATAAAAGGATGGAAATGGGAGTGGAAGTTCGTATACTGCATGAAATCGTTACCATAGTAACCATTGTTTACAAGTCTATATGTCATTTTAATTATATTCCATGTATTCCTTTTCCAAATCCATTATTAAATAATTTAAGCTGTTTACGCAGGATAATATAATGTTTTGAATAATTTTAATGGGTACAATATGTCGCTAATATTAAATGCAATAGATGACGCTGCTGTACTTTTAAAACGGGATTTTTATTTTTCTTATGTTAATAGTCTTTATTTTTTCCGATTTTTATCAAACAAAGTAGCTCTCGTTTTAATTTTGCGGTATTCCCAATAACAATCTAATGGGGAATTGTTAATCTGGCGAAACAATAAAATTATAGAATAAGCTATTTTCGCTAGATGACGCTACTGTGTATTTAAAACTTGTGTTTGTTTGTTTTACTTGGAATTTTATATATAACAAAAAAGATACTTGTAAATTTAACACAAGATTAGGAAATTTATTAGGAAACAAATAACATTTGTCATTTATAAGAACCAACTATTATAATAGTAAGGGAGCCGAAGCGGGGATTTCGGGATTAACTAAAGCGCGGTAGATTAATATACAGGGGGAAACCTTGTACCCAGTTAAGTACGTGGACCAAGTATGAGCCCTATAAAAATGGCCGCCCGGTAAGGACGAAGAATCAGATTAGTAAAAAAAAATTGATCATCTGAAAATCTCGAGCGCGTCAGATTAAGGTAAGGTGAGCTTGTTACATGTTAAAAGGTGTACATACCTCTAATCTGACAATTTGAGAGTGACGTGGGGGAAGGCTACAAAGTTGTAAAAAAAAACGTCACTGACATTCTCGAGCGTGGCTAATTTTTTTTTATTTTGAAGGGAATCATTCAAGGATTACGAAAAATATATAATCTGACGATTTTCACAAGCCGAGTAATAAAAATTCATCGATAAGATTTAATGCGTGCAGCTATTTGATACCTTTATTTCCTTCTCCGCATCACTTTTTCTCTCTCACTCTTTTTCTATCTATTACTCTCTCACTCCGTCCCCACTCTGGTTTCGGTTGCCATGACGCCATGACAGCTGATGATACAGACTCGTTCGTGGCGTAATATTGTTTACATCGTATTTCCAATGTTTTTGCTTATTTTGTTATTTTAATGTAAATTTTGTGAATTAAACTTTTTACATATTTACTAAGAGAAGAAGAGGAAGATGATTCTAGCGATGAAAATGATAATTAATAAAAAATACTGTAAAAATTTAATTTTCATATAATAATTTTCTTATAAATATAAGTATTCTACATAAAAAAAACATACACTTTTTTATTTGCATGCTAACTCCGGTGCTTTTCTATTTAATTAAGCTCAATGATTTGAAAAAATAAAAAATAAATTTAATTGTCAGATTAAGTTAATCCCTTCAGATAATCGTCAGATTATGAGATATCACGTCTGGGGCATAAAGATGAACCATATATATCTTAATCTGACGCGCTTGAGTATTTCAAAATGGCGATTTTTTTTGCACATTCCAATAATGGTCACGCGTTCGTGTTACATCCAAATCGTCAGATTATTATATGAGAGCTTTTTTTTAGGTTCACTTGACATCCCCTTAAAAAATCTGACGCGCTCGATTAAATTTTTTTTTTCACTTTCAACCCTTACGTATAACCACCACCGTCATGGAAAAGATCAGATTAAAATACGACACTTTTTAAAAATGCGTAGGACATGGATGATATTAATATTTGACGGACATACTCGAGTCCATACAACACATTTTTAAAAGTCTATAGCCGCTTCCCCCACCGATGAAAAGGTATATATTATATGACATTTTTTTTTGTTATCATCTAAGCTTCGCAACCCAATAGGTCTCTATGACGCTCGAGTAAATCCCGATTTATAGGCAAACCATTTAACTCGCGGGACGCCTGCGGGGCTAGAGGTAGGTGGGCGCGGAGGAACTCACAGACGTTTCGGAGGTGAAGGCGCGCGCGCGCGGCAGGGAGCACAAGTGACGTTTCTCAGTACGCTAGCGGCTCTCGCGGCGTGCAGTCGGCTTTTTGGGTACGGACGCTCGGCACAAGATCTATACGAGGTTATTTTTCCTGAGATATTTTCCAAGATGAACGCTGAAGGACGGTCCAAAATTTTTGCTAAAAAAATTAACAAGCAAGCTAAACAATTAGTATACAATGTTTATTCTTTCTTTCAACAAAGAAAACAAGATCAAATTTCCACGGAATTTTTACAAGATGTAAACCTGCACAAAATCGTCGCCCAAGCAACGCAAATATCACTGTCTACTGTATGTAAAATCATCAAAGAAGGAAATGATCTGAAACGCGACCAGAGAAGTGTAGTATTCCCCAAGAAGTAAAAAACAGAACCGAACTAAAAGAATTGAAATAGATAATTTTACTGAAGGTGTCATCAGACGAAAAATAACTCAATTTTATACTATATACAAAAAGGTACCCACATTGAAAACACTAAATGCTAAACTTAAAGAAGAAGGAATTTTAAACTGTGGTCGAGAATATTTGAGACAGTTACTGCATAAACTTAGTTTTAAATTTAAAAAATGTCAGTCAAAGAGAAAGCTGCTTGTTGAGCAACCAAATATTATTTCTTGGAGATGGAGATATCGAAACGCGATAAAAAAACATCGACGAGACAAGAGATCTATTGTTTATCTTGATGAGACATACGTAAATGCGTCTTTAAATGTTCCATCGTGTTGGCAATCTGCAAAAGAACGTGGAGTGCTGTCACATATTGGCAAAGGGCCGAGATTAATTATTGTACATGTAGGTGGCCAAGCTGGTTTTGTAGAAAGAGCTCTATTAATTTTTAAATCGAAAAGTAAAACCGGAGATTATCATAATGATATTAATTTTAATAAATGGACCAAAGATAAATTATTGCCAAATTTACCTCCAAGATCTGTAATCGTTATGGATAACGCTGCCTATCACTCAGTGCAGGAAAAAGCCAACGATGACCAACACAAAGGCTAACATGCAGGCCTGGCTGCAAAGACATAATGTCGAATTTGATAATTCCTTAAGAAAATGTGACCTGCTTAAGCTGATTAAGCAGAATGGTTCTGAAAATGTTTATAAGATTGATGAATTGCTCAAAGCTGCGGGTCACGAAGTATTAAGACTTCCCCCCTACCACCCAGACTTAAACCCTATTGAGTTGGTTTGGGGGGATATCAAAGGTCAACTGGCAAGAAACGAACTGGACAGTAATTTAGATAAAAAGAAGATTGCACTAGAGCAATTATTCAACGAATTTCCAGCAGAAAAATGGGCAGCATGTGACAGTCATGTCCAAAAAATTGAAGATGATTATTGTAGTCACGATGGACTACTCGATAATGCTATGGACCAAATAATAATCAATTTACAAGATGACTCGGATTCGTCCAACTGGACAGAAGAAGAAACAAGATGATTCAAGTGTCATGGACATCAGTGAAGAAGAAAACCTGTAAAATAAATATATACTTAATTCTGATTGATATAAATTCTTATTATAAGTGTAAAATATTGTTTATTTTTTTATTATGTCATCCCGTCCACCCGTGAACAAACACCAGAGATTGTTTTTTTTTTTTTTTTACCTGATATTGGGAAGGCAATGGAACTGAGCCATACATCCTAATCTACGTACCATCTTACTAATATAAGACTACGCTAATGTCTTCGTATTCGTAAAGGGAAGCCGGTGATAATCGAACAACTTGAATTAATATCAAAAATATATATATATTGCATAAATAATATAAATATTAAAATAAATAAATAAATATGTTCCAAAATAAGTAAATATGTTCCAAAAACATTTACATTTATTTTATATGTAAGTGAAATGAAATGACAAAGTTTATTATTTATTTTGCATCCGAGTAAGATATCTCGGGATTTATCTCGAAACAAGTCATTACGTGTGTACCGATACCCGCGCCCACCTACCTCTTACCCCGTAGGCGTCCCGCGAGTTAAATGGTTTGCCTATAGCATCGTGGGCTCCCCTACTATAAGAAACACTCATATGTGATGTCAGTAATAGTATATTACGATATTAGTTCGTTATGATGATGGTTATAACCAATACGCACGTATATCGTACGACGTTTTTTAACACATTTGCGAGGAAACAGAAAAATAAAACATTTTATATTTTGTTCATTTTTAATTATTTAAACAGTTAGTGAAATAACAATTATTAAAATGATACGTAGTTGTAGTTGGTTTTTTAATTATGTTATTATTATTATTACTCTTCATAATGTCATTGTTTTGTGTTAGGGTAAATGTTGGAGATGACGAAACTTCTTGAAAGGCGGCAGAAGAGCATGTAATTCGTCATTAGTTGTAAATAAAAAAATATTATCAGTAGAAGTAGAGGGGCGCGGCTCAGGGCAAAACTTCTTCGTTTGTGGTTCCAAATTTATCGCCTGAGTTATTTTGGCTCTTATATTTGCTTTGTTTTGAATGGAATCTTCTACATAAGATTCTGCTACTGCGTTAGAACGCCACCCGCCATGCCGCTTTAAAGTCAATATATCAGCTCCCGAATCATCAAGTAATGTAGCTGACGTTCTGAAACTGTGCCCTGTATAACAATCAGCATTCGGCAATCCTAAAAACTTGGCGACTTCCTTTGGCATGGCACCGAATTTATTTATGCCAATAGGTTGCACAGTACATTTACCTTTTTGATAATTCTGAAAGAAATGATTATTTTTTGCCTTATTCGTACGCAGAGCTTCATATTTTTTTACCACGTCATAAAATGGGCCGTTGATAATAAAAGATCAAGGTATTTTGTTTTTAGTGTTTGGGATTTTAACTAAAAGCATTTTGCCTTGATTTTCAATGTCATTTGTGGTAATATTGTGAAGCTCGTGCCTGCGTTAATATTTGGTATTAATGGTGCATGTAGACGCACCATTAATAGCAAATATTAACGCAACCTGAAAAGAAATAAAAATGTGTTAGATAAGGTATAGGTACTTAGCTTACAGACGGTCGTTAAAAAATATGTAAAAGATTATGTACAGTAGGTAGATAATACATAAAATAAGGAGGCAAACTGACCTTTGTAGCCAGGTACTGGCTATCTGGAGCATCTCTTAGAAACTTTTCGACGTCATTTGATGACAGTACCTTAGATTTTTTCTTTATAAAACCATCAGAGCGTCTCTTTAAAAATGCAATGAGATTTGAATATAAATTAATATCGACACCATTTTTCATCTTGAGGGTACTTTTCAGCATAGAATATGTTGTCGACAACGAGCTAGGCTTATATATACCAGCTAGTTTATTTAAATACGCCAAAACTACATTTTCGGAAAATGACTTGGCATTTTTCATGTTTTTCCACTTCAAGAAATTTTCATACGTGGTTATGTATCTGTCTTTGGATATTGACGTCAGCAAGCTGTCGCATGCGGTTCGCGCTTCTGTTAGTAGGATATCCGGTGGACTTGAAGTAATACATTGCTCTTCTTCATTATTGAAAGTTGTCATTTTTAGATATGCACAATACAAGTACAAAGAAAGAAAATTTGAGAAAAATGGCGCGAGGATTATTGTCTGCCGTAGCTGCGTGAAAGGCAAAGACGTTAGAGCATGCAGTCAAGTTTTTAAATTACCGAATAAACTGTTTTTTTTTTATTTTAAATAAACTCAATTTGTGAATGTGCACCGTTGCTTTCCCGCCATTTTAACAGCGCGCTAGCGCTGCCTACTGACTGGCGCCGCGTGGCGATTAGTTCGAAATTTGAATAGCAAAAGCGCGCGAAATGGCAAATAATACTGTTATGGAATTTATATGGACTATAACTTAACTATTTGCTTTAGTAACACACGCGTTTTTTATGACCCGCTTTACATATTTAAAACCGGTGGAATTACATCAGCCTTACGAGCAAAGGTGTTAAAAAGATATTTAATAATAAAATACCAGATGAACTGAAATTGTTGCCACAGAAATTGTATCAATCAATTTGAAAACATAGCTAGTTTATATATGTTTCTATTCAGTAAATGAGTATTAAAATGAAAGATATTATTTGGAACACTTTAATTAATTGACATATAATAGTTAATAATTATTTGTAGATGAAACTTTTTGTAGTTATACCTAACGTAGTTATACCTAAAAATAGTTTAAGTTATTGCATGCTGTTATTAAATTTTGCTATTTGTAAGACCCAAATATTTTAAGAGAAAATGTCAGTCATAATCATCATCATCATCCCTTTTACGTCCCCACTGCAGGGGTTCAGGCTTTCCTTATGGATGGTTAAGGAGCATAGGCCATGACCCTCCACGCTGGACGTCACTATCTGCCGAAAGTCACTATACCATGCGGACGAAGTCGGGGGCACAGCTAGTATAGATATAATTAGAAATATGTTTAATAGTTAACAGGTCATCCAAATTTCATGTTTTGAGATTTAGGAATATCATTTCATAAAATTTATGATCGTTCTGTTGTCACATATCGTTGTACTGCGCTGACCCCTAAATAGAATATAAACTGGTTCACAAAGGAATAGGACTCTAAATGAAAACTAGTAACAGTATTGAAACAGTAATAAACTAGTTTTTCCCAAACAAATATCCCGATTTCTTAATAGATAAATTTTTATTTGGATTTGATAAGATGACTAAAAGAAACCAAATTTTGTAACCGGTTATGGTTCTCACCTCAATTATTACGACTTAAATTTCAGCTATAGTTATTCATACAGATTAATTGTCATATCGGTTTTTATTATTAGTATAATTTTGAGCGAGTTGAAAATTGGCATACTGTAGAATTATTCACTACTACAAATCTTATGAATCGTCTGTTGATAAGTAGCGAGTTTTTTTGTAATTTGGTTTAAAACTGTTAATATTTGATGTAAATTAAGGTCACTTTGTGGATTATATTAACCGCTATACCGAAACCGGTTTCAAAGTCCAGTTGGTACATTGAAACTTATATTATTTATAAAGTTAGGAAAAAATATATTTGTCTCTCTCATAGTGTCATTATATGACCAATATTATCGACCAATTTATTTTATTTTGTTACAGATGGCGAAGGGCACGATTCTTTAGAAGACAATTACCAAGAAGAAGAAGAAGATGTAAAGCCGTCAAACAATAATGTTGCAGACATTCTAAAGAGACTACAGTCAACGGGAGCTCTTATTAAAAAGCCTAAGCAAGAGTTTAAGTGTTATACCTGTGACGAAGATTTCTCTTCCTGGACAGAATTAGAGAGTCATCTTATACAACACGTGTCTTTGCCCTCGGTGGTCCTCGACAAGCTGCCGTCCGACACGGAAGATTCCCCTCCTCCATCGGGAGATGAAAACTGGTCCGATGAAGAAGATGTACCTGACCCGCCCAAAGTGGCGAAAACGACGCCTCAAAAAATCGATATATCTCAAATTCTCAAGAAAACTGGCATTTCTCTAAAAAAGACAGGTGAGCATGATAATAAAAAATCAGATTCGGCATTAAGCAAATTAAGCGGATTAGGGTTTACCATAAAGAAAAATTCTACGGTTGTGAAAAATGAACCGGAACCTGAGACTGAAAGTAGTAATGATCTCATGAAAAAATTAGGTAAATTAGGAGGAATAAAACTGAAACTCAAGTCAGATGGTAACAACTCTAATTCATTCAAAGTAATTAATGGTTTGAAAGATTTTAAAGCTTCTGACGACGAGGATGACGGCAGTGGTAATGATGAAAGTAAGGACGGTCAGGTAGATGAAGATGAACAAGATAAACCTGTCGAAAATGAAGCATCAGCTAGTGAACAAGATCATTCAGGTGATGAGGAAAATCCAAATAACAGTCGCAAAAATTCAGATAGTGATGATGGTAGTGCCAGATCTCAAGTTGACAGCAAGCTTGCTAATGCTCTTAAGAACTTTCAAAATAAAGCAGTAAAAGTAGAACCAGTAAAAAATATAAGAGAAACAAAAGGTCTATTGCAGGACACGCCTACAAAAATACCCGGCAGGCCTGTGGTGAAACAAACACCTAAGCGAGGAGCGAATCTTCCAATAACGACCAGAGAGCTACCTCAGCAAGCTAAAGAGTCATCTTGTCTGGAAAGTAAAACTACGCGACGAAGTGAATTAAAAGAAAGTACAAACAACCTAGAAAAAATTGTAGTGAAAAAAGAATTTGATTCTGGTGAACCGCCATCGACCGACGTACCTATATTTTCGGGACAGATAAAATCAGAAAGGGCTACACCACCATTGCAAGCTGTTGATGATACCTCTACACCTATTATTGCAACTATCAAAACAGAACCGGATGCTAACACCCAATCTTTTTCAACCTCTAACTCGACTGTAACTAATACTACGCCACTTCTTCCTGTAACAAAAAAAGAAGATACAAATATGACAATTATAGAAATTAATGGTGATTCTAATGATGAGGACGATGATTGTTGCGTGGTTTCTGCTACTCCCGCGCCTGACATAAAACCTATTATACCAAAAACTGAAAATGTGACACCTACATACCCTCCTCCATCATACCCTAATCCGACTTCACAATCAAGCTACAGTACATCTGGTGGTCTATCTTCTCGTATGCCAACTATGCCGTCAACTGAAAAACAACATAATTTTAATTGGAATGCTCCTGACACTAAGCCACCAATTGACATGTTAGAAAAGAGTGCTGATGACATATTCGAAAGCCTACTATCATCTGCAACAAAAAAAGAGAATCTCTCATTATCAGATGCAAGCGAATACATATCATTAGATACTTTAGGACCACAACAAACTTGCGAAGTCTGTAATACTAGATTTACTGATATGTCTCTTCTCGAGGAACACCGGCGTATAAGTGGTCATTCAAAATGTATTATCGCGCCATCATCGTCTACTCTATTACCATATAATCCATCTTCAAATATTTTGTCTAGTTTGTTACCTGTAAAACAATTGGCTGAGCAAGTAGGTAAACTGTCAGGAATCAGTAATAATAGCGCTGGTTTTACTCACCAGCAAAACGTTATGATTAATATACAAGCATACCCAGGAGCTGGGGGTGTAATGGTACCGCCGCAACCATATAATGCTTACACTTCTTCACCCGGGCAGACTATGCATTCAGGGTATCCACCGGGATCAAACAATATGTACGGCGGACAAGCAATGCCAGGACAGTATCCTGGACAACATTATATGGGACAACAAGGATATGGGCAATTTCCGCAGCCTATGTCCAAATCAGGATATCCTGGAGTACAAAATACGTTTTCAACGGCATCGACACCTTATTCTTCAGCATCTCCGCTCCAAAGTATGCAGCAGGCGTACGGACAAGTTTCACCTGGTATGATAAATACGCAGTCACAAATGGGACAAATGGGTCCGCCTGGATCGTCACCTAGTCAATACGCACCCGTTTCCAGTCCGAGTGGGTTAATGAAACCACCAAGTAGCGGAGTCAGAATTCAGAATGTTCAAACATTCCCCCCAGGTCAAGTAATAATGCCTGGACAAACTATTGCTCCTGGTCCTGAAATGAGTGGACAATCCCCTGGTCAAGTGATGGGAGGACAAATGCCTGCACCTAGTACAATTAGGATGGCTTCGGGCGCTAATGTGTCTGGTGCAAGACCCAGAATGCCAACAGTAAGGGGGGCTAGACCATCCATACGACCAGGCATTCAAGTGCACGGGCAGGTCCGCGGTCAAAAGCCAGGGCAACGTATGCCATTAAAACGGCCAGGACAAATGGTAACGGCCCCAGGTCAAAAGCGCCGCCCAGATATGCTGTTACCCGGAAAACATGACAATGAGGACTGCCAAGTAATGGCGATGCAGAAACAACGTGATGGTTTGCCAATGATTCAAAGTGTCCAAGGTGCTAAAGACAAACTCAATCTTGGTAGTCAAATATCAATCACCAAAAAGACCGTCAATAAAGAAGCGAATGCAATGGCGAATGTATTAGCTTCTCGAGGAATAAGTGTGAAGCAGAAACAGAAAAGTCGATCGCCAACTCCAGATAGACCGCTTCCGCACATACCCAATCTTGGTGCCGGTATGAGTATAAAACACACTTCTAAGTCTAGTAATTTCTCAATACCTGAAGCGAAGGTCGGCGGTGGGATGTTGTCATGTAAAATATGCAAGAAAATGTTTATGAATCAAAATTCTTTACAAGTCCACATGTCTGCTGCACATCCACAGAGTAAAATACCAATGTTCAGATGCGATGAATGCCCGGCGTCATATCCCAAATCTTTGCAATTGCAGCACCATAAAAGGGTGTTTCATAATGTAAGCGGAGCAAACCGTGAGTTAGGTTTGCCTGTTGTCGATTTGTCACAGGAAGACAATTTAAAACGGTTGGGTAACTTAGGTATTTATAGTTTTATACCGTTGGCCAACAGAGAACAAGCCAGTGGTTGTTTTGGTATTCCTGTTATTTCAGTACATAATATGCAAAATGGTATCACGAATAGTTTGCAAGCTCTAGGTGCAGATGGCTTACTAAGTTTAGGGCCGCTCAAACCTTTACCAAATACTTAAATAATATTTTTTTAAGTGTGCAATTGCTTATATTATGCATTTGAGAATGTGGCGACGGGATGTACATAAAAAATAAATACACTTATATAATTTAAACAAAATAATGAAAACTTATACCAAAAGTAATAGATTTTGGAATTATCTCGAAATATTAAATAATAGTCACAAATTATCTTTTGTAATTTGGTAAGCATACATTTTTATTCAATTTGGAAAGGGTTTGTTGTTTTCTAATTAGTTTGTTAGAAAACAACAAGTGCATTAAATCTAAGTAAATTTTTAGCTCCTATCGTAATGTGTTTATTTTGTAGTTCAGTTCTTGGAAGTCAAACTTGTCTATTTTGAGAATTTATACAACTGCACTCCAAAAACGTGTATATATCGAAGGTAAATCGTAAAACAAAATCAACCCTAATATGATATTAATAAAATTTCACCAAACTCAACGTTTTCAAAAAAAGAAACTAACATGTTGTAGTGATTGTATCGCCTAAGATTAATTAACTGACCTCTAAAACTGAACGAGATTGTAAAAGCTTTTTTTTTTAATTATTAAATGTAATTGAGTAAATAAATAAGACTAAATATCTTTATTTAAGTTCCAGTTTTAGTACATATAAAATGTTATACACCAAAAAAAAAACAACTTCAAATTTTAAAAATATAATAGATAATATTTATCTCAAAAGCTAATTATTTAAGAAAATGCAATTGAAGTCGAGCGGAGGTTTTCTGTAAGCTATTAATTAAATGGTAGGCGCCTTGAGATAAGTATTAATTATCATATTTTTTAAGTCGGTTATATTTTTAAAAAGTTATTATTTCATGTTTTTTAGAGATATTGCTATTTTTTATATAATAGGTAACACTCAAAATATTAAATATCTATATAAATAAAAATATTCAACATAGTGAATGTCTTAGAAAAGAATTTTTTTTATATAATTTATTCCAATGAATCTACTCATATTTTAAAAAGAGGAAGGATTGGATTGCTTGTTTCTTTCATCTATCTTTGGGTAGCTACTTAATACGCGTTGGACATCTACTTTCATAAAAACTATACATAATCCTTGAATAATCATAATCCATGAAAAAATGTCTTACCATATCAACTAGATATTTTGGTGATATTTGATGGAAAGCGTATTTTGTTTTGTTATAACTGAATTGTAAGTTTATAATGTTATAATAATTGGATATACGTGTAACAATATTATTTTGATTATAAACAAAGTTATGAAGCATGAAGATAATTATGAAAAATTTAGATTTCTGTATGCTAAAAAATGAATAAATTTGGTGTCCGATGGTAAATACGAAGGAAAATGATTTTCTTTTGTTATTTTCCAGAATCTATAGCTTCTTTTTTTTGTTATTGACTTTTGTATTTTTTTTGTTATACATGTATGTAAAATACATTTGTCAGTTTATGTATTTACCACACAAATGAACATTGGTAGCGATTCTGTTACACAAACTTGACAAAATTTAGGTTAGTCTTGTCAAACTGCATTTTCAATTGTAATAATAACTGAGATAATAAGAGTAAACATCTTCTGCTACAGTATACATGAGTATAATTAAAGTTCTCAGATTTGAAACTGATATTTCTTTTTATATTATATTTCAATAGAGACACAAAACTATTTGCAAATGTGATTATGCTAAATTTATGAAACCGATATGCTTCCTGATGCTTTACAAATAACACGACACAATATAATTTCCGCTACCTTTACTACTTTTCTTAGAGACTTAATATTATTATAATGTCGATAATTTCTAGTATTAATGGTTGTCACCTTTTGATCCATTAATGTTAAATTTCGTCTCTATGTATGGCAGTTACAATGATTAATTTTTTGCTCACCTGTTTTTGAAATATCAAGTTTTTTTGCGTATAAGAAACTTACATGTAATCAAAATAGATGTTGTATAATGTCTAACTAATACAAGTTTTTGTTTTGGTTGAACGTTCATATGAATAGATATAAAACAATAATTACATTATAATTTTCAAGTATTGGTTGAAAAGGACCTACTCATTATTAAAGAGGAATCTAACATTTGCAAACAAGCGTTCTAACAAAGTCGACCTTGGTATGCGTCTGTTGAAACGCTGGTTTGCAACCGTGCGGGTCATACTCCATATTATTAGTTATTTGAAATTGCAATGTAAATAGAAAACTTCTCAAGTCTATGCAGATTGGTGCAAAATAAAATGTTTCGTTTCATAAGGAGAGATAATATGTTTAAGTTAATTTCTACTTTAGTCTTTAAGGATAGCTATTATTAGATATTTTTATTTAAGTTTTTTATTTTATAAGAAACTTGAAAACTATAAAATACTTTAGATACAATACTGAAGAATTTAAAATATTCAATATTATTTGCTTGTTTTATTTGAAAGCATTAATTCCATACATATTTCTGGATAAAAAGTAACTAAACGTAAAACGTAGCAAAGTTACGAAATATGTCTCCTACTATCTATCTAACAACCGCAAATTATTTTACCGCTGATTTTTCCAATGAAATGTCTTATGTTAATGTCTCTAAATACTGTTAACAACAGATAAAAACAGATTCTGGGTTTGATTACGTTATAACAGCATTTAATGAAACATAATTCACGAAATTGCACATAAAACTAAAATTTATATCATAATTATCATAAAGATTCTGATTTTTAGTCTTAAAAACGCACGATTATCTTAAATATCGTGATTTATTGTCTCTGTCGTGTAACTTAAAATACAACCGTCACCGAAAAATGTCACTGGCAACGCAACGTCTGTCAGAGTAAATCTCATTCCTAGATGGCGCTGTTTTAGTTTAGTTATATCTCTTTATTTCTTAATCGATTGTTAGATGACATCGTTCTAATTTTATTAATAGGCGTAGCTAGGGGGTGGGGGGATTAGTACGTCTTCACAATCTGCTGGTAACGCGTAGCGAAATAACTTGGGCACCCTGCAAACCGAACCATCACAGCTTCATTAAAATTTTCCAAAAACAAACTTTAGTGCCAGAATAAGATCTTTTTCATCAAAATATTATGAATTATAAAGATGGTTAGAATACAACACAGGGGAAGATATCGCCTACTGTTTTGTGTGTAGGCATGATAATAAGGATGGAATGCGTGAACATGTTTTTTTTTTAAACTGGGTACAATAATTGGAAAAAACTGGGAGACAGTTTAAAAAACGTGCCGAGTCGTCATCTCATGTTCAGAGTACACAAAAATTTGCATACTATAAAATTACTATCAAAACTGGGGATATCTAGCACCAACAAGAGCAAGAAGTTCTAATGAAACTCATTGACATCATACTTACTCTTGTCCCAAGAGTTTGCCATGTATGACAAAAACTTTTGCATGCATTTTGAGAAACATTTTAACTATTGCAGTCAAAATATTCACTACGCAATCATTGAAATTATAGCATGCCTATCCGGAGAACAAATTGTCAAAGAAGTAAAAGTATGTGGAAAAGAGATACATCCTCACGTCATAAACATTCATCGCTTAGCGCATAAATGAAATCTGGTGGTTGTGGATTCCTGCGCTAACGTTGCCTTAGCAGACTTTTTTAATTCAATTGAAAGTTTACACATTAATTTTTCGTAACCTGGACACCATGCTAACCTTGCTAAGATACAAGGAGCTCTCGGAATTAATACCAGACGTGAAATGAGGAGTCTGAGTACCACAAGATGGAGTTGTCGCTTTGAAAACTCCCAAGCAGTACTCACCAATTTCGAGTCCATAAAAGGGCTTTGAAGGAAGAATGAACCAGAGTTTATTATAGCCTTACACTCTCTATGTTCTGTGGCCTTACATATATTTCACTCTGCTCTCACTACAGTTAATGTTCTGAGTAAATATTTTCAGACCAAAGGTGCAACTATGTTTCAGGCCAGTGACTTAATAGCCAGTACAATTCTGATTTTTTAAACATCTAGAAAACAATTTAATATTTGGGTTTGCAAAGAAACGTGACATTTCTGTGGAACCTGCCCGAGTATTAAAAAGGAGGCAACAGGAAAAGGATTTCCATATTGAGACAACATTTGGAAATAGTAATATTAGATTTGCCGGCAGACACTCAGCCCGGTGAATACTGGAAAATTAATAAATATTCCCAGATAGCATGCTAACTTGGGGCAAGTTTGACCTTTCTTTGATTCTAAATTGCTGCGGCAAATATATGTGGCAAGTTTGTGACAATGTCGCTGCAATATTATTATGTTAAATATGAAGTTTCAAGTATGCGACAATATTGTTTGAATATTGTTATAACAAAGATACTTATATGTAATACACCCATCATCTTCATAGGTGCCCGCATAGTTCTAAGTCTGTAAACTAGATGGCGCTGTTCATGTAACGCATCGCGGTATCAGTTTATATTGTTAGATTGTAAAAGTAATATGCCGTTTAATGTGGTCTTAATAGAGGATTCGAAACCAACCGTTCCAGTTAATTACTTTGGTTCTTAAGCTAGTCTCTGTGTTGTGGTCTGAGTTTGAAGTCGCAATTGGACCAAACTTTTTTTTTACTTTTGGACCAAAAATTTTGAATGATCAAAAGATTAATAATAACTATTGACAAGTAATATTTGCCTCGAAATATGTATTCCAGGTACTCGAGTACCCGTGTACCCGTGTACGTATTCAAGTCGGTTCCTAAATACACTTGCACTACCTTTGATACGTCAAAGGTAGTTCAAGTTTGTCACTCTGAAACTAGAAAGTTTGATTTAAACTTGCTGCAAGTTGCTGCGGTTGTCATGGCAAACTTGAAGCAAGCCTTCTTTTTTGATGTATCAAACTTGTTGCAAGTAGGAAACTGGGTTTGTAACCAGCTACTGGACAATATCACTTACCAACTTCAAACGGCGGCTTGAAAATATCCCATTGGCGGATACAGTAGACGCTTTCCTGAAGCTAGATCGAGAATGCAGATGCTTTAATTAAAAATTATAAAGAAATTTTAAAGACTTATGAAGAGGCGTTGAATGCTGAGGCAACGATAGTGAAAAACATGTTTATATAAAAAATTTAAGTAAACGCAGAAAACGTAAAAAAATATAATAAGGACTTTTGCCTAAATTTATATAAACTACATCAAGCAGAATTAACACTTCTTGTAAGTTCCGCCCGTTGCGAAAGGAGTTTTTCTACAATCAGGCGAATAAAAACCTGGCTGAGGACAACTATGCTCCAGAATGGTTTATCTCTTCTTTAGTAAATATAGAAAACGAATTGGTGAAAAATTCAATAACATCAGAGGCAGTCTTGAATCGGTTTAGTGAAAAATACAGAAAACTTTAAATTGTTTAAATTTCTTATTTCAAGGTATGGAGTGGACAAATTGACATATTTTTTGTTGCTCTGTAATAAATAAAAAACATTATACCTTATAATAATATACTATATATTTACCTTTTTGTTGGCAACTTAAGAGCGGAGCTCCTGTCGGTGTATACCTATCTATATTAGCGACTTTAACTACAAAGTTTTGTTTACGACGCCAATAAAGGAATAGAATAATAGTACAGGATAACTGAAATCCTTAGATGATGCTTACAATAGTTGAACATGCGCTGATAGTCAGTCAGCCT